GTGGAGGGAACCAGGTTTAGGTCCCATGACCCATTCCAGCATGACCACTGGTCTGCAGAGTAACCTTGGACAAGTTGCCTAAAACCTCCAATCCTAGATGCCCACCCTTAAACCAGGGTGAGAGCATCCTCATTTCAACAGGGCCCCCACAGCTTCAGTTCCTGCTTCTAGCTCCCCCTACTCCCATAGTGGTGCTCAATAAATGCCCTTCCCTGGAACTCTTGGCCCCTTATCCCTGAGGTTTAGCACCTTCCTGCTAGGCTGACCAACATCCTGCAGTCTGCTCCCTGACGCAGCCTCTGGGTGGGCTGCCATCTGGGACTGAGGCAGAAGGTCTGAATTCTCCCTGTCTATGTGGATGGAGTCCGTAGCTCCAGAGCAGGGACTGTGGGCAGCCCTGACCATAGGAAGAGCCCGGCCTGGATGTCAGGAGACCAGGCTCCAGGCCAGTCCTGTGCCATTCCGAAGAGACCGTGGGTCGGTCAGGCAGCTCTTGACTGACTGCATATCAGCTGAGCCAGAGCCTAGGCTCCCAGGGGGAGGAGTGCGGGTGCATTTATAACTGCACTTAGGGAGCCTGCTGGTTCTGCCTTCTCCTGCCTGACTTGTTGAGGTGAGTATGAGTTCCAGGGATCAACAGACAAGGGCAGCGGGGTCTGGGGTGGTGCCTCTTGCTAAAGGGCTACAGCAAAGAGCTGAGATGAGCAGGGCGGGCCCAGGGAAGGAGGCTGATTGGACTCGCCCCCATCTCTGGATAACCTTGCCCCTACCTGCAGGCCACACCACTGTCCCCTTCCCCGGCTCCAGGTCTCCTCGGAAGGAAATCCCTTTTGAAGCCCAGCCTATCTCTCACCTTTCAGAAGTGGAGTCTCATCAGCAGTGGAAAATGAGCAAGGAGTTTAGTTCACCGCCTCACTTCTCTCTAATACTGCTTCTTCCTGCCATTTGTCCTCCATGTCCAAGTGTCTCCCTTCAGCTGTGATAATAGTGAGAGGGAACTTGGCTTTGGAGCTCTGCTCCTTCCCCCACCAATTCTCAGCTTTATGTTTGCACCCCACCTGTCCTTGATTTAACTGACTCAAATTTTTTGACCCCCAGAATAGAAACCACCTCCTCTGAGAAGTTTTCCCAGCACCCAGAGGCTGAATTAGAGACTTGTTAGCAGTGTTCTGGGTTGGGATGGCACTCTGGGCCTTCCCCCCTGGACTCCAAGCAACTTCAGCAAAGAAACTACAGCTGGTGCATATGTGAGGCCTCCGTGTACAGGACAGTGTCTGGTACATAATCATTGTCAAAAAAAGGTGTTGAATGATCTATCAGCGGATGATTAAAGGGGGACTTCTTGTGTCCGGCTCTTACTTCTAATACCTACAGCCCACGGGAGCACTTCATGAGGCCCAGAACATGGGAGGCCCTCAAAAAAAAAATGTTTGTTTTCCACCCATTCCTTCTTATCAAAACAACCCCTAGAAACTATTTCTCAGAGTTAAGAGACCTGGAGTCAAGGATATGACACCACATGAAGAGAGGTTTTAGCCTAAGTGAGGAATGATATTTAGAGAAGGCAACCAAATCACAGAGCTGCTTGGCCTCAAGACACAGTGATCACCAGAGCAATGTGGCACTAGAACTGTGTAAGCCAAGGGAATCCACGGAAGGGAAGGAACTGAACACAATGCTTTCTACACCCCTCTGCCTCACGTGCCTATATGTGCAGAATTCTCAGTTTTGCATGGCTTGGGTCAGAGAGGTCGAGAAATGAACGGGAAGAGGAGCTCACCTGCCCTGGACTGAACATTTAGGAACTGCTGCTGCCGCCACCCCAGGTCCTGTCTTGTGTGCAGCAGCACTTCTCCCTGCTCTGACAGTCGAGCTCCTGACGTCCGAGTCCTTCCACCATCTGGATGCTTGGTGAGTTGGTGAGGCAACTTCTAGCAAGAACAGGGTCTGAGCTGTGGGGACAGGAGCCTGACTTTGGCTGTGGTCTGCAGCAGATTCGCTTCTTCAGAATAGGACGTCTCTGAGTGGGTGTCTCTGAGTGTTCCCGCCAGTGTCTGTTCATGCAGTTCCCACAGACACCCTGAAGGGCTACCTTTTTACTCTAAAACTCATAGAGACTAGAGAACTGGGCCAGGGATGTAGCTCAGTGGTTCTGCCGCCTGCCTCTCAAGCACAAGGGCCTGAGTTCAATCCCCAGTACAAAAAAAAAAAAAAAGAAAAGATTCAAAAAAGACTATAGAATAGTATAATATACTATACTATAATAGTATTATAGCATATCCGGTAGAACGAACTGAAAAATATTTTTAACAAGGAATTTTAAAATGTGACAAGGGGTAAAAATGAGAACCAAGACACGTCATGTAAAGGTACAAGATCCCAATAATGAATGTAACTGTACTGTATACCTAAAATGTACCAATAAACATAATTTTAAAAATAAAAATAAAAAGGACACTAATCTCAACATGAGAACCCCATTTAAAAAAATGTGACAGATGGGCATGGTGGTACATGCCTATAATCCTAGCTCTTGGGAGGCTGAGGCAGGAGGATTGCCATAAGTTTGAGCCAGTCTCAGGTACACAGTGAGTTCAAGGCCAGTCTGAAGTATATAGTAAGACGTTATCTCAAAAAATAAAATAATATAGAACAATATAAATGTACAAAGTTAGTATCTTTTCTATATAGGATGAATGAAAGACTATGATAGAATTACTATGGCCTCAGTGGTAACGAATAACAAAACATAAGAAATGTGGGAGAGCTATTCATTATTCAACAAATACTGTTTCTCATGTGTCAGGGTCTACATTTGTATTCTTGGAATACAAATGAGTTCCTGTCATCATGTACCTGTACGAATAAAACTGTCAAGCTGCTGAGTGACAGGAAACAAGGCTTGAAAACTTAGAATGCCATACTTTGTTGGAAAGACTGACTATTGTCAAAATATCAGGACCCCCACCACCGGATTTCTTCATAAATTCAGTGAAATCAAAATTTTACATTGCAATGAGATTATTTTTGGAAATTGGAAAAATGAATCTAAAGGTTGAAACAGTAAAATTTGAAAGTAATAAAAACAATTTAACAGAAATATTTGTGGGGCTGTTTCATTAGAAATCAAAATAAATTATGAAGCTATAATGATTAAAATAGTACAATACTTTCCCAGCTCAACATCCCAGTTAAAAAAAAATGGTCAAAGGATTTGAACAGACATTATTCCAGATAAAATATACAAATGAACAAAAAACACATGAAAAGATGCACAACACCAGTAACTCTAAAAATCTAGAGATAGTGGTCCACATCTGGAATACCAGCCCTCCGGGCCCATAATAGGAGGGTGGTGAGTTCTAGGGCAGCCTGGAATAATTATACAGTGAGACTCTATCTCAAAGAACACAAAATGCCCTTAAAATTGCAAATCAAAATCACTGGGCTGAATGGAATAAAAAAGACAGTTAATAACAAGTGCTTGAAATGATCCTGAGAAATTGGAACAAGCATACACTGTTGGTGGGGATGCAAAACAGTGCCGCTGCTTCCTAAGAGCCTGGCAAAGTGTAAACTGAATTATCGTGCAACCAGCAGTTTCAGAAATATGTTTATGCAACAACTTGTATATGCATGTTCACAGCAGCATTACTCACGATAATCAGAAAGTAGAAACAATCCAAGTGTCCATCGATGGGTGAATGGATAAATAAAAGATGACTCACCGATGCAACAGAATGTTATTCCAGCCACTAGGAAGGACAAGACAGGTGAATTGTGCTAAGTGAAAATAGGCAGCCACTAAAGACTACATATTATATGGTTTCACTTAAGCAAAACGTGCTAACTAGGCAAAGCCATTGATACAGAAAGTAGGTTAGTGGCTTTTTGCCTAGGGCCAAGGCAATTGGGAAAAGTGAGGAATGGCCACCCAGGTTTCCTATTTGGGGCTGATAAAGTTGTTGAGTGTGGCAAAGGTTGCACAACTCTGTGGATTTGCTAAAAGCCACCAAATTGTACACATTACATAGAAAAACTATATGGTATGTGAACTACTCACTCTTTTATCCTAGAAAATACTATGGTACTGGCTCAGGTACAAACACCACTGTCTAAAAACTCAACCCCTCCACATAGATTAATATAATCCAGGCTAGAGATGGAAACACAAAGCCATGGATAAAATGAAACAGGAATAAGCTTTTAGCTATTTGTGAGGAAATCAAGTTAGGTCTTGACCTCATGTCACACATCAAAATGAATTCTGTGTAGATCAACACTTACTATGAAGCCAGGCATGGTGGCACACACCTGTAATCCCAGCACTTGGGAGGCTGAGGCAGGAGGATCGCCGTGAGTTCGAGACCACCCTGGGCTACATAGTGAGGTCCAGATCAGTCTCAACTACATAGTGAGACTCTGTCTCAAAAAATCAAAAAAAAAAAAAAAGACAATATGAAAATTCATCCTTAAAACAATATATAGTACACTATTTGATCTTTGAACAAGAATGTTCTTGGCTCTGCTTAAAAGAAGGAAAGAATTCATAAAAATAAATATCAACAGATATAATGTTATACATTAAAATGAAACAAATATTTTGTTTTCATAAACAAAATGCAAGTAATAACAAGATGTGTACGACGTGTTTCACTGATCAGAAAAGACATACTGATATTCGCATATAAATTTCTAGGGCAAACACTTAAGTCCCTAATGGGTACATGTCCAAACAACATAAATAGAAAGTTCAGAAAAGAACGTGCCAAATAAAACTATTTTATAACCATGAATGTTTTTAAAGTATGCTAATTCAATACTAGCACCCGTAAGTCCATGAGAAAATTCACATAACTTCCAGGTAAATCCACTTGACACTCGCAAAACTGTTTGTATCATTTGACCAAGTAATTCCACATCAAATATCTGCCTTAAGAAATTTATTTCAGATGAAAACAAAGACTTTATGGCCTTAAATGCCTTTATTTTTCCTTCAGAAATACAGGAGACTCATATGGACCAAAGCCCCCACTCCAGCCTGGTGAGGCAGGGGCAGGTCCTGTAGCAGGGGCCCCACTCTGGCCCGCAGCTGTCGCCACCCTGCGGGAGGTGTCAGGGTGGAGCAGTGGCGGCTCCCACGGGTCCTGCACCAGCTTCCTCCTGGTGGGCTTCCCGGGGCTGCGGGAGTCTCGCATCCTCCTGCTGCCTCCCTCCCTCGGCCTCTGCCTGGTGATCCTCTCCGCCTATGCCCTGGTCGTCTACACCGTGCTAGCCCAGCGCAGCCTGCACCAGCCCATGTACCTGCTCATCATGAAAGGGGGTTCGCGTGCCCTTTCGGGTGCCCCTTCCCAATTAGGCCACTCACACACCGAGAGGTCCAGCAGGAGATCTTTATTGTAGGGTGGCGAGCAGGAAGCAGGAAGGCACAGAGAGAGAGAGAGAGAGAGAGAGAGAGAGAGAGAGAGAGAGAGAGAGAGAGAGAGAGAGGGGGGGGAGAAGGAGCTATTGCTTATTTATGAGGAGTGAGCTACTTTTAACCTATCACAGGCCAGATTGCTTTTATGGGCCCAGTCCTGCAGACACAGGTTTCAACTTTCCTGGGGGAAACTTTCCTGGCCTTGCGGGGGAGGGAAACCAGAGATAAGGGCATGAGGTCATTTTAGGAGCCAAGATGTACCAGGAGAGTGCAGCCTGTGAGGAGGCGTCACAGCATACTTTAACATGATCAATTCCCTAACACATCAGCCTGCTCCTGACCGTCAACATCTGCGCCGCCGCCACCATGGTGCCGGCCCGCCTTGCTCTTCAGCTTCTCCACGCGCTTCAGCCGCGTCTCCCTGGCTCGGTGCCTGGTCCAGATGTTCTGCATCTACTTCCTCATCGTCTTTGAGTGCAGCATCCTCCTGGTCATGGCGCTAGATCGCTACCCAGAGATGGTGACCAGCGGGTTGCTGGATGGTCTGCTGGGAGCGGCGGCAGCCAGGAGCGCGTGCATAGTTGCGCCCGTGGTGGGGCTGGCCTCTCGGGTCCGCTTCAGCCTCTCAGACGTGATCCATCACTTGGCCTGCGAGCGCATGGCCCGCATGAAGCTCTCCTGCGGGGACGTTTCCCTGCACAAGACCGTGGAGCTCACTGTCCGCATCTTCAACAGGGTCCTGGACTGATCCCGCTAGGAGCCTCCTATTCTCGCATCGTCCGTGCCGCCTTCAGGATTTCAGCACGGGGAGGCCGCTCCAAGGCCCTGAACACCTGTGGCTCCCACCTGCTGGTCGTCTTCACTGTCTACTCCTCCACCATGTCCTCATCATCGTCTACCTGTGGCCCGCACTGCCTCCCAGGATGTGCGCAACCTGCTCAGTGCCTTCTACCTGCTGCTCCCGTGTCTGGTCAACCCCATCATCTATGGGGCCAGAACCAAGGAAATCAGGCAGCACCTAGCAACTCTCTTCCAAAGGACGCAGCAGCAGGTCTCCACTCAGAAGCTCCAGTTGCTGTCCTTGCGGAGGGAGATTCCTGGCTGATTCTCTGGGACTTGATGTCCCAAAATCAGCCTCCCTATCCGGTGATGGGAAGTTAATTATGTGAGAAAGTCATCCCTGTTTATTTTTGGCGTGGCTGTCTGCATTCACCTTTGAGTCTTATGTCTATTTTCTGAGAAAAAGCCCCTCCCCCAGAGTTACACTAGGCAAGTTACAGTAGGCAACTGCAAAGCAAGTTTCTACCTCTGGCTTCTAAATGTTCTCCCTACCTTCTGCATGTTTCATTCATTCATTCATCAAATAGTTATTATACATGCATCATGCTAACACTGTAACTGCAAAGAGAAAAATCTGCCTCTTCCCAGAGGGAGTCACAAATCTAGGAGCTATAGAAATGCAGTATTCAATAATGACTTTTTATGTACAAAATTCTGTGGGAAGGTCGAGGAAAAAACACTCAATAAAACTCGGAACACTTCAAAGAGAAGGTCACCTTGAGCTGGATTTGAAGGATAACAAACGTTCTCTGGAGAGGAAAGAAATAGAGAGGAGAAAACTCACTCTAGGTGGAGGAAGAGCCTGGGGAAATGCTTAAACATGGATCAAAATGGCAGACAAGGGCACTCGCCAATAAACGTATGTTTTCCTTAGCATAGAGTATGGGGCTGGGCTGGGGATTTAACTCAGTGGTTCAGTGGCCTGACTTGCAATTGCAAGGACCCGAGTTCAATCCCCAGTACCAAAAAAAGAGAGAGAAAGAGAGAGAGTATGGGGCTATGAAACCAAATAAAGCTTGGAGGGTAAGCAGAGGCCAGACAATGAAAGACCTTACCTGTCATGATGAGGAATTTTAGTTTCTACTCCAGGCAAGAGGTAATCATTCAGAAGTCCAAAGTACGGATGTGGAAAAAATCATATTTATATTTCATAGTCAGCATGGTAGGGAATGGTTTGGAGGCCAAGATGGCTGTTAGGAGGCTGCTACGCTTGTCCAGATGAGAAAACAGTGACCTGAACCTAACCTATGACAGCAGAAGTAAAGAGAGGTAGACCAATGTAAATCAGAAAGCTGAGTTTATATGCAGAGGCAGAAAGAAAACAAGGCAAATGGCTTTACTAAAGCACGGGAAAGAGACTGTGAGGAAAGTTAAAGTAGTCAGCAATGTTAGGTCCTGTGCTGGGGCAAGGAGAATGAGGACAGTAGAGCCCCTTGACTCAGAAATGTGTGAGGTCTGAAGTTACAGTGATGAGCAAAATTCAGTCTTTGACTTCACAGGACTTAAAGTTTAGTGAACACATAAGCATAGTTCGGAGGATACATAAGCAACAGTCAACCAATTTAACGCCATGAAATAGTAAGAACTAAAATAAAACCACCATGACTCTGTCAGGATGGATAGATGTTTATGAGAGGGATAGAGAGCAGTAGATAGAGGAGAAGGCAGAAAAGAGCATGTGGGTAAATTTTGCAGAGTATAAAGAACATGAGACTTGGGGAGGGAGAGATTTGAGTTTGATTCTTCACTTACAGGTTGTGAGACCATGAGGAAACCTTGGAATTCTTCTGAACTTTAGTTTCCTCAATCAAAAAATGGAAGTAATAATACTACCTTCCTGATAGGGAGAGGGGGAGCCAGTTGAGAGGAAAACCAAGGAATGATCCAATAAAAGAGATACCATATGGGAGCAAGAACGAAGCAGGAAAGGAGGGACCCTCCCTTTATTAAAAAGAGTGAAGGGTGCAGAACTTCACAGCTGTGCTGTTTCCCCAGAGACTCTTAGCAGTCCAGGCATAGCTTTGATGTCATTGTCAGAGGGTACCACAGAGAAACAGGAGTGCTGGAGTGTCATCGCACTGCCTAACATTCACATGTTGGAGAGGCAGAGGAGACAGGAAGATCCAGAACAAGTAAATAAATATTTGAGTCCTGGAGATTGTCATGAAGCATAATTTAGGATAGTGGGGAGAAGGAACAAGATGGCTGAAAAGACACTGGTGATGACCCAAGATATGAACATCGTATTTGTGACCTGAATTACTATAGATGGAGAATGCATCACTTGTATTGAAAGAAGTCAGTGATCATTTAAAAAGGCTGTGAAGTAGATCACTGACATGAATGAACTGTCATCTCTCAGCATCTTTGGATGATCGGTTCCAGGATTCTCCTCTCCTTTAGCAAGGCCTATAGATGTTCAGTCCCTTTTATAAAATGGCATAGTATTTTCATATAGCCTGCATACAGCCACTCAGATACTTTAGATCATCTCTAGGTTACTTATTATACATAATGCAATATAAACAATATGCAAATCAATGTTTTACTGTATTATTTAGGGAATAATAACATGTTCAGTATAAGCACAACTTTTTAAAGCTATTTTCATCCATGGTTGGTTGAGTCTGCAGATTTGTACCCATAAATACAGTGGGTCAACTGTATTTCAAGAGAATGGAAGAAATCAGAAATAAATAGACTGTGCCATGATGTCATTTATGAAAATGGGTTTAAAGGACCTTGAAGCTTTTGTGTGACATTAATGAAGAAAGAAGGGGACTGTCTGACTTTTTTCATTGCTGAGACAAAAATACCTGACACCCAAAGTTAAAGGATGGAAGTTTTATTTAGCTCACAGTTTGTAGAGGTGTCAGTTCATAGTTGGCTGTCTCCAAGGCAGGGTGGCATGACAGAGGCATAGCACAGAGGAGAAACAGTCCATGGTGGGTAGTAGGCAGGAAGGTAGCAAAGCAATGAAGTAGCAAAGAAGCAAGTAGCAAACAGCAACAGCCATCTTCTTTCTGTCCCTTATATTCTATCTAGGCTACACATTCTTAAGGCAGGTAGCACTCACACCCAGCGTGGGCCTTATTATCCACATTCAGAACTACGCCAAACCAATCAGTGAACTAATTTAGTAATCACACACCTTTAATTCCAGCATCACACACTCTAGATCCAGCCACTTCTGAAAAAGCCTCACCTATAACTGCATGAGGCTTAAGGGGGGGATCTCCAGACATGAGCCATAACAGGGACACAGGAGGAATGAGCAATTATTTTAGCAATAGTAGAGAGTCACCGGGGGAAAAAAAATCCATTGTCAAGATATGGCTTCTCACATTGCTGAGAGAAATGTCAAGGATATTCACACATGATGCTTCTTATAACCATGTTTAAAGTGAATGTTTCCTTTCCTCAAAAAGAATTTGAGAATTTCAGCACAGAGGTATCTGCTTCATAACACACAATAGGAGATAGCTGATGGAATCTGACACCCTCCAGAAAAGGCCAGTGAAGACAGACAGACAGGAAGGGAAGAAGATGAAACTCCTTGGGTAACAATAGTGGAATAAGAATTAACCTGCTCTCCTTTTTCCCAGGCAAAAGCTTAATTACACTTTCAATGTCATACTTCACCTTCCTTCCTCATGCTCTAAGCTTTCAATCAGTTCCACTTCAAAATAGTAACATCTAAAGGGTATAACAAGTATTGTGCATAGAAGGGAAACATATTTCTTGATTTTTCTTTTGAGATGTGGAGCAAAGGACAGAAGAAAAGAATAAACAAGCATATCTGCAAAGTCCCTGGCACAGCAGCATAAAACACCGTAGAAGTCATCCTGCCCAAACTTGAATATTCCAAAGAAGGAAGCTCAAGAAGTCGGTGCTTCTAAAAATTAAATAAATAAATAATAGAAAGAAGTCAGTGGTTCTGACTCCAGAGCATTGAGTTTGGCATTGTAGTTATGATTCCTGTCTTCTGAGAATTGTTGCAATGATGGAGTAAGCATGTTCTCCCACCACTGGGAAAGAAATAGACCTCATGATCAGAGTAGTCTTGATTTAAGGGTATATTATACCTTCACCTTGATGTTCCACCATCAAGTACCCCAGTCTTGAGCCCCAATCTCCTGCTTAGGTGATATGATGCAAGGCTAAAAAAAGACACTGAAACAAGACAGAAAATGGGAATCTGGTACATTCCGAGCTTAAATGGCAGCAAAGACCCCAGGCACCCAAGACCTCCAGTATTTATTGATTACACAAGCATGGGAAATAATAGAGCGGAGTGTATATGAGATATCTGGTGATAGCACATGAGGCATCTGGCAATAACAGTTAATGCAGGCCAGGCTTGTAAAAAGGGGGACAAGGCATTCCTGCAGAAGGAGGAACAAAGGGAGACCATAAAGACTGGATCATAATTAACCAGTAACCCCTCAGATCAGCGTGGGAGGCCATAATTCAAGGAAAGGAACCACACTGTCCTCAGCTGCAATGTCGTCTCACTTAGGAGCCCTGTAGCTTCACAGACCAGGACTTAGGTCTCCTTTGCAGCCATTGATGGGGGTGCTATATTAGCTCACACACCATCCAACATGCTCCTGTGAGTCACGTAGGCTTTGGTCAGACTCCTAATATAATACAGCCGAATTATGGGGAAGCAAGAAGGCTGTGCCACTTATAGCCTGCTAGTAAATTGGGCAGGGGGGTCAGCTACATTCCACCATTCTCTTCTTCCATCAGATGGAAACACTCAAGCTTGCAAATGAAGCCCAATATGTATACGTTTTTTCTTTTTGTATTGAGGATTGAACTCAGAACCTTGCAATTGTGAGGCAGGCAAGGAGCCACTGAGCTAAATCCCTGGCTCCAATATATGTTTCTTACTTTAATTCAATGAAATACTGTAAGCCTAATGAAAATATCGAGGAACTAGAGGGTTATAATGCTTGCTTTTCTAAGGAGGCCACTCCTTTTCAAGTCAGACACTGCTCTCTTCCGTGACTGTCCAAAAGATTCAGATATGATTTTAAAATACAACAGAGCATCTCTACACTAATTTTCTCTATCTAGTCCCTCAGTGTCTTACCTTCACTACCACTGCCAGCACTGTTAAATATTAAGGAAAGAGCCCAAGAAATGTAGGTGTAATACCCATCTATGTCTAAAAGTTGAGGTGCTAGGTGGGCATAATGAATAAAGAGCAAGAGCAGGCCTACAGAGGAAATTGAAGGTACAGCAAGTCTTCTCTGCCTT